AAGCCACAATTACCAATGTCATGAAGGAACACAGCACATAAAATGACCAAATATAAGACTTTTTTGGAAGGCTTTAGTTGTTGGATGGAGAATTTTTCAGCACCCTCTCTTATAAAACAAAAAAAAATACTTGTGTGGGTGGATGAAATTATTTGCATTTTCATACGTCTAAATATGGACAAATATTCAAATAATAAAAAATAGATGTATTAAAGTAATTAGAGTGAATTTTGTGTAAATATTTGGCAGCATTCTGCATTTTGAAAAAACGAATGTATATATGTGTGTGTGTGTGTGCGTGTGTGCGTGTGTGTGTGTGTGTGCGTACTGGCAATTAAAAATAAAACAAAGTGAAAAAATAGATTTAAATAGGGAAGGAAAGAAAAATCAAAGCTTTAAAAACACAGATATCGCTTTTAAAGTTAATTTAATTATTTGAAAATGAATAAATAAATGGCTGCACAAAATAATTAAATTAATTTAAAGCAGATAAATAAACCTCGAGACAGAACAAATTGAATTATTTTTTCATTTTACGTACACACACTTAAAGAGCACGTCTCTGACTTCTTTTTTTTTCCATCCAGAAACTTTTTTCATCTGCTGAATATCCATTGAAGAACAGACTCACTTCCTGTAAATTTTGGTTAAGAATTAATTTGATTTCAATCTAAATTTCTTTTCCTCCCCTACATCTCTCAGCTACTTATTTGGTTTCTCTTGTTTACAAATAAAAAAAGTTAAAGATATTTTAATTTGTTATTCCCTTGCAAAGACAGAAATGGAGCATAATTATTTAAATTTTCTTTTTTAAAATGTGGAACTTGTTGAAAATGTGGGTCCCTTTTGGAATGTAGCAGATATCATCTTCTTCTATGTTCAATACTCTTTCAGAACATTGGCGATCATGGCTCTCCACTGTTTTCTATCCTTTGTAGCTCTTAATAAATTTTGTCTAAATTATGTTATTTCTCCTAAACCCTGTTTTACTGTCCATTTACATAAGCTTGGTAAGCAGGTTATGTACTGTTTTCCTCTGTTCCTCTTGCCTTCAATATGTTCTGTGAGAGTCAAATTTCCCTAGCCTTCTCTCCTACAAATTAATGTGCTTTTGTTGTACATGAAGCCATTTTGACAACACAACATGACTAGTGTTTCCTAACCTGTTAGGTTCATAGGGATACCATATGTACTGTAGCCATAGCAACAAAGTGTGAGTCTGTCAGATAGCCTGACAGAACCCCAACACACACACTTCGGGCTGGTTTTTAATTCAGAGTTATCCTTCTCCCAGATAGGTTGCCACCTCAAGGCAAGAGAATCAAGTCAGCACTGTTATTTAACCTATAGTTAGTAGGGGAGAAATTACAGAGACATGCCTTCCCCAAGGCTTTTGTTGGAAAGTGAATGCAAGAATCTAGACTGGAATTTGAATTTGCCTTGTAAAATTTACTTACTGCAACACTTTCCATATATCTTGAAGCCTACTTGAATATCAATCTTGAATATCAAAATTAGATATCAATCTTGAATATCAAAAGTAGATATCAATCTTAAATATCAAAATAGGATATCAAACTTGTATTCCAAACAAAACCACTTACAGTTCTAATTAAAAAAAAAAATTGTCATTTTAAAAATATTACTTTCATTTAAATCTAAATTATTTGGTTTGTTCTGCCTTAAATTACAATATTTACTAAGCTCCTTAAACATTTATTTTGAAATTTAGAATATGAAACTAATAAGACCTATTTTAATTTATACTGTTACAAAGACATTAGTATGAAAGTCAATGCAACACATTAGCCTGGAATTTGAACACGGCATGCAAATTTCATTTTCCATGATGATATTTGATACACTACCAACATATGTAAGAGAAAGAAAACACGGGATTCCAAATTTAAAGAAATCAACAGGAAATCATTCCAGTATATTTCCCAAGACTGATTGATTTATTTTTTACAGCTTATCAACCTTTTGAAGAAAATATTTTTAGATTGTAAGAATTTCTTTTTGGAGTTAATATTTATTTACTATGAGCTGAGTAGAGTACTGAGAAACAGAAAAATTTTGCAAGAAACAAGGAAAAGAGTACTAAACTGCTATGTAATATCTATTCTCCTGTATGGCAGTGAGTGCTGGATGATCTCCTAAAAGATGAAGAAGAGACTTGAAGCAACACAAATGTGGTTCTACAGAAGGATGCTGAGAATACTGTGGACTTAAATGTGAGTAATGATAAAGTTTTGGAAAAATGGAAACAAAAAGAAACAACTAATACTTAACACCAGGAAGAAACAGTTGAGGTTTCTGGAGCACATAATGAGGAAGGAGAGCTTGGAAAATCTGATACTCACTGGGCAGATAGAGGACAAGAGGGACAAATGAAAACAATGCATGACATACTTGATGAGCTTGAATAAATGGATGGCAGAACAGGGCTTTGGAGAAATAACAGAAAGACAAAGTTTATTAAGTGCTACAAGGGACAGGAATTTGTTTCAAGCCATGATCACTTTTGTCTGGATGGAACACAACACATAAAGAAGATGTTAATCAGAACTAATTAACCCATAACTGGCAAGAAGAAGAGATGGATTCGTACCTTCCCCAAGATCATTTGCACCTAAATGAGTATAATGATTACAATTAGAATTAAAACTCAGTTCTCTGATTCACAATTCTGAGCTGCACATTGAAGCTTACAACACCTGGTATTTTCCATCTAGGTACAACCAGGCTCAACAGTGTTTCAATGTGATATGTCAGTAAGAATGCATGGTAATTCAAAGATAATAAAGAAAAAGAATCAGGGGAGAGTCATGATCACCTATTTCCTGAGAGGAAATTTTGGCTTGAAATGGGATGAGCTCTGTCAGGTTATCTTGCTCTTGACGCAATAATTCTATGGCTGCAGAAGATGTGGATACCCCTATAACCCTAGTAAGTTACAGGACACATCACATTATAAAAGGTTCATTTTCAATATGATCCTTAAAAGAATTTGTTATCTATTTTGAGATTTAGGTCAAAATCCATCAAATACAGAAATTTAAATATCTAGACAACAGAAAATGTGGCATTGGAATCAGAATGTGCATTAGAATAGCAAAAAAAAAAAACATTCAAAATTTAAACAAAGTATTAAAAAACAAGAATATTTTGTTAGAAATGAAAAAAGCATGGAACTGCTATATAACATCAATCCTCCAAGATAACAGTGAAGGCTGGACAATTTCCTCACATGAAAGGGAGACAAGAAGCAATAGAAATGTAGTTCTACAGGACAATGTTAAGAATAGCATGGATGGGGCATGTGAGCAACTAGGAAGTTTTAAGGAAAATGGAAGCAGAAAGGACACTTGTCCATAAAACCTGAAAGAGACAGTTGAAATTTCTTGGGTACATAATGAAGAAAGAGTGCTTGTAAAATTTGATACTCACTGGATATATTAAAGACAAGAAAGGCAGAGGACAGTGAGTAAATTATGTAAATGGAATGCAGAACAGGGAGCGAGAGGGATACTAAAATGATAAACATTGCTAAGACCTACAAAATCAGGAGGCTGTGGAGAGCCATGATCGTCCATGTCCTAAAGGGATGCAGCACATAAAAGAAGAAAATTTGTTTACATTTATTAAAGGCTATAAATCTATATAAATCAACAAACTGATTTTTGCATGAATACATTTTGATTTTTAAAATATACATTTGAAAGAGTTATTTGAAACAAAGTAAATTTTGGACATCATTAAAAAAAAATTACTCTAATTTAATTTCTTGGATATTTTATTGTAATGACTTAATTTTGTTAGTTAAGTTTTTGTCACTTTTCAAAAATCTCACTCCCTCTTTAAATTACATATGCTATCCATTTCAGTTGTTGTTGCTGTTGTAAGTCCTCAAATGATGGGTTTTCTATTATTTGGCACAGTTCTTTTTGATTCTGTAGCACGAGTCCACAAGGTCCAAAGAAGGATGGTCCTTTCTAAGCCCTACAGATTTCATTTGCTCAAAACCATTTTTAATCATTGATATGAGAAAGCAGTTGTATACAGCTGAGAGTTTAGATATATAGGAAATGCACTTAAAAATATTTACTCATTTCAAAGTGAGATGCCATTGAGTAAGCTTATGTAATGTGTGAATGTCACCATCACATCAAATATGCATCAAGTGGAAGGTAAACAGGGATAGCTTTGTGAGGTCCGAAAAGGAGAGTTTTGAAGAGAAGGTGTTATTGATGCATGAAGGTTAATTTATCATTAATATTAAATGGTTGGATAATTTTTATCTTTCTGTATATATGTCTGTTGTAATTGGAACTGTCACACTGGTATAGTCAGAAAAAGTGATTTATGTGGGCTATACCAGCAGGACATGCCAGTGTGAACCAAGAAGAAGATTGAGATTTCACCTGATATTTCCAAGAAGGAAAAAATCAATATATATATATATATATATATATATATATATATATATATATATATATATTTTCTTTTCTCATCATATATTTCACTCTCAGATTATCAAAACTTTATTTTCTTTTTTACTCAGTGAAAATAAAATCACATTTATTTTCAAGAAGACATATCCTTGATGAATACAACCATGTTGAGATTTGAACTTGAGTCTTATGGTCAAAACACTAATTTTCTAACTACGTGGACATGCATCCATTATACATATATATATGTATGTTTGTATATGTGAGTGTGTGTGTGTGTGTGTAATTGAGAAAGAGATAGTGAGAGAGAAGACTGAAACAGATTTGAAAAAAAGAAGGAAGGGATGTGAAAAAGATAGAGATGAAAGGACAGAGAAAGACAATGAGAGTTTGACCGATAAACACACACACACACACACACACACACACACACACACACATATATATATATATATATATATATATATATATATAGATAGATAGATAGATAGATAGATAATGAACGGATTTAATATGATAGTTAAGAACAGATTGAAATATATATACTGGGAGAGAGAGTGATAGATAGATAGATAGATAGATAGATAGATAGATAGATAGATAGATAGATAGATAGATACACAAAATGTAGGTTTCGCATCTGGTTCTCTTTGGTCTCAGTGTCCGGTTTCTTTATGTGTACTTAAGAAGAACTGTGTAATTGAATAATAGAAGGAAAAAGTAATGGCATAAAGGTGAGAAGAAAGAATTTGTATGTTTTACATTTAAGTAAAAGATTTTGTTTTGCCAGGTGAAAAGTGAAAATGGTACAGGAGAAGTGGAGGAGGAAGATAAAGAAAAGAAGAAATATAAATCAAAAGTATAAAAGAAAAAAAACATCTGAAAAGAATAACTTGAAAGGAAAAATGAAAGAAAGAAAGAAAGAAAGAAAGAAAGAAAGAAAGAAAGAAAGAACAGGGAAATATTAAGAAAGAAAGAAAGAAAGAAAGAAAGAAAGAAAGAAAGAAAGAAAGAAAGAACAGGGAAATATTAAGAAAGAAAGAAAGAAAGAAAGAAAGAAAGAAGAAAGAAAGAAAGAAAGAAAGAAAGAAAAGGGGAAAGAAAAGGAGAAAGAAAGAAAGAAAGAAAGAAAGAAAGAAAAGGAAAAGAAAAAAGAGTGAACAAAAAAAAGCTGAGAAACAAGACAAATTATGAAGAAAATATAAAAGAGAAAATAAGAATCCAAAAAGAAATGAAATAGAAGAAAGATTTTGAATCCCAAAATAAGGAAAAACTGAGTTTTTTTTCATTTTTTTAATCATTTCACTCCAAGCAAGGTTATAATACCATTAGGACATTGGGGGTTACAGAGAGTGAAGGTGAGAGAAAAATTGGGTATAGGGAGGGCTGAGGAAAGGATAAAAGTTTCTTGTGTTAATTCAGGAATGAAGAATGATAAGCATTTAGAAGAATGAAAAGTTAAGAATGACTTAAAAGGAAATAAACAGAAAAGAAATAAAGAAGAAAAAGGAAAGAAGAAAACAAAAGAAATAATGATACAATAAAAAGGAGAAAACAGAAAAAGAGCAAAGAAGAAAAAGACTAGATAATGTGAGAGTCATGGGTGGAGATGGAAGTGAAGAAAAAAATGAAAGAATATCATTAGAGGAAGAGAAAAGAAATAAGAACAACAGAAGCAGAATGAGAAAAACATAAAGAAGAAAAAGAAAAAAAATTAACTAAGTCAGAAAAATGACTAATAGAAAAAGATGAAGGAAATAAAGAAAAAAATTAAAAAACTAAACCACAAAAAAAACGAAAGAACTAGAGAACAAAAGAGAAGAAAGAGAAAAAAAAACAAAGAACTGGATTGTAAAAGTGTAGAATAAGAAAAATAAAGAGAAAATTAAATAGAAAAGAAAGAAAAAAAGAAGGAAAGGTAACAATGAAAAAAAAGAAAAGAAGAATAAAAAGGAAAGTAAATAAAATTAATAAAGTAACTAAAGTCATAATAAAGTAGTAAAAATAAAAGATAATTAAACAAAGAAAAGCTATAAAGAAATGGACCATGTTATAGAAACAAACAGAGTGTTAGGTTGAACATAGCTAACGAAGAAAATTTTCTGAAACCAGTAACTGTTTAATTAACTGAACAATACACGTAATGCTAAACCTCGAAGTCAATTTACATTCCTGTCAGCATATGTAAATAAGTAAGATGAAGGTGAAGATCATTATTGATGAGATGGAAGGCAGGAAAGGTGGTGGAGTGATGGTGACAGATATTTTGATGTGACATGGACAGCAACAAAAGTAGGTATTCAGAACAAATCATCGGTTTTGGAAAAGCAGGAAAAAAGTTTTCTTTTGCTATTATTTTATTTTTTTTGGTTAATGTACATACAACTATTCATATGTGTGTAATGTATTCCATTCAAAATAGAAGTATATAAAAACTACTTGTCTGATGCAAAAATTTGCAGCGTCATCTTTTACACAAGGTTAGGGAAACCTTTGAAATGTCTCTGAAATGTCTCTGAGTTCTTTATTGCTATCAGCAATCAGTCATCTATATCCAGGGTCAACTTTCAGCCAACTGGACCTTGTGCTCCAGTTGGGTGCTACACCTTAGGAGATCTTTTTTCATTTTTTTTTAGCACACTGGGGGGTTACAGGGAGTGGAAGTGAGAGAAATGACTGAGTATAAGGAGGATCGGGGAAAGGACAAAAGATGAACAGGATTCTAGAAGAGAGAAGATGGTGATTGATGTTGCATTTAAATTTTTGAAGATTGTAGTTATCAGGGAAGCAAGGATAAGATAATGAATAAGCAAATTGTATACAGTCTTTCTTGTAAGTTTTTTTAGAGATGTGTGTCATGCATGTCCAGATAATTTAGTTAAAAAATACAAGAAGTGTCTGGGGGTTTACTTACCTAAAATTTTTGTTGAGTGCTAAAAGATAAATGTTACTATGATGGCCTGAAAAAAGAAAAGGAGATGAAATTTTCATGATGCACATGTTAATGACCTGTCCGCGCGAACTACTTGTCCAATAATGAGAATGTCATGTGTTTGTGTGTGTAGAAGAGAAAAGTGGGGTTGATTCTCATTGGTTTAGAATGTGTAAATTAATGAAAGTTATAATTGTTATAATTATTTTATTATAATTATTTTTGACATTATAATTAATTTTTTATTTATTTTTTATGGACACTACACTGTGATAGTATAATTAATTTTTATTTATGTATTTCTTTATGGATGCAACTAAGACAACAGAAAATCACTCCACTATTTTTCCCAAGAATGTATATCAACTAATAAATAATTAAAAAAAGGAAATCTTTGGAGAATTATGATTTTCAAGAGCTGTGGCATTTTTTAAGAAATACTTCTGTAAACCATGTTTCTGATTCAAATTACACAGTAGTTCCAAACTCATTGATGTGAATCCAGATATACCTATTTTTGTGTAAGATGAAATGGCAGCCTTACCATTAAGAAGAAAAAAAGTGAAAGTGAAAAAACAACAAATGGAGATAGATATGATTGAGATAAGTAAAGGAGTTTTTTTTTTATTTTTATACAAGGTTTGATCACTAGCTCATTTGTTCAGGGTATTATTGCATTATATCAGTCAATAGTTAGCTACTGCTGTTGCTGTTGACTTTGCAGCTAGCCAAAAGCATCATTGTTGATGGAAATATCTTAGTATTCTTGCTGACTGTCTGGTTAAGCTTACTTGCTATATGGGGTCCATCACTAATGCCAGATTGATCAGATCTACCTTCATGGGTGAAATCAGGGTTGGTTTTATAGTAAGCCAGTGGGTCAGAAATGGTTGCTGCAAAAATCACATTGGCATTTTCTGATCAGCCAGAAAAAAATGTCTTATAACTCTGGTATTTTTGGACGGAATTCCAGAAGTAGAATCATGGAGCCAGACGAATTTAAGATCTGTCTTTTGTTAAAGAATTAAAATTTCAACAGGATACAACAAAGTAAAATTCATTGATAATAAAAAAAAAAGGAAATCTCTGGAGAATTATGATTTTGAAAAGATATGGCATTTTTTTATAAAAAATACTTCTGTATAACAATGTTTCTGTTGCCTCAAATTACACAGCAGTTCCAAACTCATTGATGTGAATCCAGATATACCTATTTTTTGTAACTTGAAATGGCAGCCTTACCATTAACAAGAAAAACGTGGAAGTGACAAAACAACGAATGGAGATAGGCCATGGTTAAGTGAAAGAGTTTTTATTCCCCATGATTTAGAAAGTTTTATTTGTTGATTGATTGATTTGTTTCTATGGTTTATCAAGAGGAATTATTTCATTGTAGTAGTCAAGTGTTAGTTCTTACTACTGCTGCCGTTGACTGTCACTAGCCAAAGGCATCACTGTTGATGGAAACATCTTGGTATCCTTACTGGTTAAGTTTGTCTGCTATGGGTTCCCATCACTTATTCCAGCCTGATCAGATCTACCATCATGGGTGAAATCAGGATTGGTTTTATAGTGAGTCAGCAGCTCAGAAATGGCTGCTGTGAAAATCACATGGGTTTTTTCTGATCGGCCAGAAATGATGTTTTATAACTCTGGTATTTTTGGACAGAATTCCAGAAGAGGATGCGTGGCGCCAGACGAATTTAAGATCTGTCTTTTGTTAAAGAATTGAAATTCTGACAGGATTTGACAAAGTACAAAATAACAAAAAGTTAACGAAAAAATTTCGAAACAAAATCTCTTGTTTATATTATTTAATCAAACATATAATTGAAAAAATCAGCTAAAATGTACAGACACTTCTATGCAAATATATTTCCTCTTTTTCTCTCACACACACATATATATACAGATATATATGTATATATTTATATGTGACCTGTTTATATTTCTCTATCTATGTATCTATATCAATACATTCATTGCCTCCAAAGCCAAATTAGTGACCTTCCATCACCACCATCTGGACTCAGAACTTTCACCAAATGTGATAAACGGATGTTGTCTAAGGGATGCCTTGTGCCTATTAAAAAACTCAACCCAGAGCTCAAGTAGAACTTGTACATATGATCCATCATTAAAGATGCTGGGAAAATGGTCAGTTCCCTGTACCGCTACAGCAAGTACCTCACTCTACCTGGTATCCGCTACCTTTACAAGAGCCAGATCAGGCTAAAAATGGTGTATAGCAACCATATATAGAGCTGCTCAGTTATCACTTACCACTCTTGATAGAGATCAAAAGCTTATCTGCATCCTTGTAGGTGAAGAAGTATTTTCCACTCTGCAAGCCCTTTTTCACAGATCAAATCTTACTAGCCTTTCACTATTCTAGTGCTATTTCCATTGAGAATGAACTACACTCCATAGTTTCACTAGTCCTAAAATTTATTGCTATGACCTGCCATGTCATGTACATTATGGTGAACCACCCACATTCCCTTCGTATTCCCCTGATGAGATGTAAGTTCCACTTGAACAGCTTTTTACCACAAACCACTGCCTTGTGTAACTGACTACGAAGGGATTGGTTCCCTGATCACTTTGATCTTAACCTGTTCAAGTCTAGGATTAACTGTTTATCTTCCTTCATACCCACATAATCTGTGCCTCTTACTCTGCAACCCCCTATTTTGAATGGCATTTGGATCAGGTTGAACACCACTGTAATATATATATATATATATATATATATATATGCATGTGTGTGTGTGTGTGTATGTGAATTTTTTCAAATCTTTTGTTATCAGCTCTGCACGTTCAATTTTTTAATTGTGTATTGAGCACTTTGTTTAAACATCTGTCCATTGGGCTAACTCTGGTCTGACCTAACACATTTTTTTATATTCTTATATATATATATATATATATATATATATATATATATAGAGAGAGAGAGAGAGAGAGAGAGAGAGAGAGAGAGATACACAGTTATATTTGTGTATAACTTAAAGAACTTACATGTATATATATATAAAACTACAACATTCTACACATACAAGGATATGCACACACACAAATAAAGGAAAAAAACAACAACCTAACATCAATAAGTAGTGCATAAATTTTTTTTTAACAATATAAATATAATGAAATTGAGAAAATCAGTAAACAATTACTGATACCTCCTGATGAATGGACTGAATGATTACAAAAATGTTTGTTTATGAAACTCAAGTGTCAGGGTGATAAATATCACATTAATCAGCTAATTGACAAATTTTACATTTGGACTAATATATATATATATATATATATATATATATATATATAATATATTTCTCTATTTTTCCTCACAATCTCCCTGTCTGTCACTCAAACACATATACATACATATAAACAAATATATATGCATATACTTATGTAACTTACTCATATATATATATATATATATATATATATATATATATATATATATATATATATATATATATATATATATATATACATATATATATATACTCATACATATATTCATACATATATACATACACACATGCAGTTTTATCTATTTTAATATGTGCCTGTAATGTGTGTGTCAGTGTGTGCATGCATGCATATTTTCAAGAACTTTATCTATCTATCTATCTATATATCTATATCTATATCTATATATATATATATATATATATATATATATATATATATATATATATATAACATCTATTTTGGAAACTATCCCAGAAACTTGCTAAAGGACAACTAATAAACATATCAATTAGTGATGGAAGTGAACAAGAAATAAAGAATATGAAAAATCAAAAATTTAGTTTTACACTACATTCACCTGAATGTTTCTGCACTCATTCTTCTCTTACAGAATATGAACATCTGATTCTGTGATGAAACAATTTTTGCAATCTTCAACCAATTAGAGAAGAACCCTAAAAAGAAAAAGTCAATTAATGAGGATCAATTGTTGAGATCTATCAAAACAAATGATTTCTTTTTTTTTGACACTTCTTTCAAAGTTCATTTTACAATAGAAAAACCTTGAAAATGTTCTGTTCCTCCTGCTACACATCACTCTTAGTTCCTCACACTCACTCTACATATA